TTCCACAAGAAAACATTTTTGCCAATCAGTGCTCTTTGGAAGTTCTGGGGAATTTCTGGGATTTGATGCTAACGAGCCTACTTCAAGGAGTGGAGGAAAAGCAACTGCTGTTCAACAATAAGAAAGGTGAGTTTTGTTTCTGTTTTCTGTGTCGGCTGAGTAAAAGTTCCATATCTGAGCCTGACTAAGAAACCTTTCAGGTTAAGGGATACAGGGCATTGGTCATGATCGTGATGGTGCTACTGATCGAGGTTAGCAAATTCATCTGAACTTTCTCTTTATATATTTAATCTTTAAGGTTACTATATGAAGTAATTTCTCCTCCAATGTATTGGGAGGAATCAATGTGTTAACTATCAATATTGCTACAAACAGAATGTTAACGAACCTCATAGACTCCCTCAGCATAGTTATCGACAAATCCATCTTTATGCAAGGGTTGGGGGAAGTTCATAGTCCTTCTTTATTCATGCATGTTTAAGAGCAAGATCACTTCCATTTCAACATGTTTTAACAACTTTGTCAATTGTGTGAAACATATCTTGTTGTTTGTTTGAGAGAGTGACGGTGAGGGTGTCTCGGACAAATCCCAAGCTCAATCTATTCAGGCTGTCTCAGACAAATCCCGAGTTCATAATCTATTCAGGGTGTCTCAGATGAATCCTGAGTTCATTGTCTATTCATTGATTTTATATTGTGAGCACCTATTGGCTATCAAGTTATACAATGATAAGGGAAATTTCTGGGTTTTTTCTAACTAAATCCCTTCATTATATATGAGCAGCATAATGCTTTTTCGATGTGATTTTTCTAATTTGATTTTGTTTCCGGTTTGCAACCTAGGCCCGTAAACCAGGAGGTGCGACTTGTTTATGTGTTATGCTGGTTTCAACTGCGGGAACCCGTTGCTGCTAAAGCTGATTGGCTGGTCTTCAACTTCACTGACCTTATAAATGCCTTGGAGTAACTTCCTTTCTGATTTATATGCCTTCTGTTTTTTCAGTTTTCCGATATAAGTTTCCTCCAAATGCGCTTTAAGCATTCATTTATGGCGTGTGAGTGTCAGATACGAGTATGGGTTCAAGATTAGTATATTCAACTGTTTCCATGTTTTTCATGTATCTGGAAGGCGTGCGGAGAGTCATATTTGATAATTTGTAGCTGAATATGTCGAACAAAAGTGCGAAAATACGAAAACTTTAGAAGAAAGTGGAGCAACACGGTACACAATTAGCTTTATGGACATGAATTGTATGAGGTTTTTATACGAAAGATGATTTATAGCTAAATTGTACAAGGCCCTCAATTTTGCCATTGTATTTAAAATAGTCCTTTGTACTTTTCCTACGCCTAATTACCCAAAGTTCTTACTTTAATTTGCATCTAAATCAGCCTTTAATCTCTAGATACATTTAAATACGTCTCTAACCGTTAATTATACCTCAGTAAACACAATTTCGGTTTTAAAAGGTTAAATTTGCAAATCTTTTCGATTCAAATTTGTAACCTAATCCTCGATTTTTGTTTGTCAAAAGTTCATTAATATTCTATTTCGTATGGTCAACAAATTTGAATGAATATCATAATTTAATTTCTAACTCTGTAAAAATATAGGGAAATAATGGTATATTTTAACCAAAATAGAAGTCTAAAGGTCTTAATACTTAACAATAAATTATCGATCGATACTAAGTTTTAACGAAAATCTTGTCATTATATATAAATTCTACAATGAAGATTTTCATATAGAACATCAAATTGATTAGATTTTAATATTTGATTTAATTTACTCGATCAATAAATTTGATTCGAATATCATTAAGATAGATTATTATTGCTTAATGATCACACATGTGTAGGTAGGGCGCAACCACTGCAAGTTATTAGATTCGAATTGCTATGTGGTCAGTGTGTCCAACTTCTTTACGTTTATTTTATAATACATAATGGTATCTGATTATAAATTTATAATTATTTTAGAAAGAAAAGTAAACAAATTAGAAAATTTTATTTAAAACCATTTTCCCAATTAATAAAGTAGAGAGAGAATTGGTTGGTGGAGTTAGATATTTTTTATGCTTATTATTATAGAAATTATGGATTTTTTAAGTCATATCACCTTGAATAACCATTTTGTAAGGTTTTGAATTTAAATGACTAAAATAAAATTATTAATAGTTGGATGACCATATTTATTTATTTATTGAAAAACCCTATGTTTTTAGTGTGAAAAAGCTTAAAAGATTACTTTGAGACAGCAAGGGATGCAGGTGAATGTAGCTTTGTTTAGATAGCAGAGCAAAGGGCTCTTATTCTTCAAGGAATCCAATCTTCAAAGATTCAACATGAGAAATACATCTTCCTTTTAAACAAGGTTCTGCTAGATTTTGCTTCAATACTCAATCTGATTCTCAAGAGCGCGAAAAGAAAAGGTAAATCCCCTTTCTTTTGGCCCATTTTAGGTGCGAATTGGTTCTTTGTTAATTGTTCTTCTGCAGTTTCTTAGATTGTTTTCAAGTGGGTAAAGCTTGGATTTTCACATCATTCTCAGAACTGCGTTTCTTTTGAGGATGTTGTTTTTGTTTAGTTGACATTTAAGCTGTTTGTCTTAAGAAATGGGATTTCGTTCATTTATGGTTTTGGTTGTAATTTGCTTTCAGTTGAATAAATTTGGGTTTCTTGACAGTTATTTAGGCTGCTTGTGTTTATGATATAGTGTTCGATTGCCTGGAGATTATAGTTTGAATAAGCTGATATTGTTTTTAGTTTCAGTATCTAATTTGGCTGTTTCGATATCAATTTTCTTTGTTAAATTTCTAGGATTGTTGTAGGGATTGTCATCTTAGCTTTGCACATTGCGTTGTGTTTTACGAGAACTTAGATCAGGGACAAGGGATAAAATTTGTTTCAGTTGATTCAGGTGTGAGATTTGTAATTCAAGAAGGCTTCGGCGTTTCGGTCTCTAATTAGTTAATTGTTGTGTTGGAGTGCTAAAGGCTGTATAACTTGTGAGCCATGTTGAGCTTCGTGGAAATTGTTGCTTTGAGGTTTGGATGTGGAAGATTGATATAAAGGTCAACTTTTGTGGTGTCAAGCTCGGGTAGTTTTCGAAATTTCTGTGGATGAGCATAAATGGATTCGTGGTTTGTTGTGGCAGCTGCAGCTGCTGGATATTTGGCTACATTTTGGCAAAATCTTACGACAGATGGAAATGGATTTTCTGAGGCTTCTTCTGCAGATTCTGGAATTGGGAAGATTACCTGGGAAAGATCCGGTCCACAAATTTGCTATGATAAGGAAACTGTGGAACGATGTTCCTCAGAGGGAAGAGAGTTTTCGGATAGGAAAATTTCAGATATTTCAGGCTAAATGTGGCTTCAGCTGCTGAATGGATTCTGCTAGTGGTTTCGATAGTGAAAAGATGGGGAGATCAGCACATCACATGGATCGCAATGAGATTTCTCGATCAGGTTTATCACCAGGATCGTTGACAAATGAAAACCTAAGAGAAGATCAATTTGGAAACGAGCCAGGTGCCAATAACGGTAGTGATTCTGTACTATCACTGGAATAGACTCTTTTAACAAGTCTACGTGGAAAAGCTCTCTAAAATAAACATTCCTATGGGTGTGTACTTAAACCGCTAAGCTCTTTAGATAGTTGCCTCATGGCTCAACTACATATGCAACATGTTAAACTGGAGGAGTATGTGCTTAGTTCGGTTCCATCACCAGCAACACCGATCTTGAGACCTTTGCTGATAACTGATGGAAGCCGAGTAATCAACAGAGTAAGTGGTGATTTTTTCTAATGGATCAAATAGCATCGAGGAATAAGCTGCATAATCAAGCAGCCTTTGAAAAGAACGGATGTGTGTACGCAATTCCTCCATTGCCAAAATTGGTTCACCAGATCTCCTCAGAAGTGAAATGTAAGAGTGGAAATGAGCGTGATGGAAGACCAACATTTCTTGCAAAATTGATACCGAAAAGCAGTTTCATTCACATTGGGTACTTCTCTTACATTTTTTTTTTCATTTTTCTCTCTACTTTTTATATCAATAATGTAAGAATCTGTATTATTCTAAATGCTTCTTTTCAATTTCCAAATTTGTTATCTTGCAAAATGTGTTAGATATTGAAAGAGAAGTAAATGAAAACATGTATTTACCGCAGCGTAGTGTAGATAAAAAGTATAAGCATGTTACTATCATATTTTCAGAAATGAAATCTGTTATTATTTCTAAATGCTTCTTTTCAATTTCCAAATTTGTTATCTTGCAAAATGTGTTAGATATTGAAAGAGAAGTAAATGAAAAACATGTATTTACCGCAGCGTAGTGTAGAAAGTATAAGCATGTTACTATCATATTTTCAGAAATGAACACGGTTGCAGTGAAATCTCAAGAGTGTCGCTGTTCCTTTCTTTTTGTTTGTCATTATTTTATTTTCTGGGAGTGGAGGTGGGAAAGGCATATTAGGGTGGTAAAATATTTTACTGATTAGTTGGACCTCTCGGAGTACAACTAAGAAAGGGAATAAACCGTAGAATTGGTTACCTTTTCTCCTTCATTATAATGAGCTAAATTGCATCAGAAACAGTTTCTTATACTATATATTACTCGGACTTGGGAGCGAGTATTAGATACGGGAATGTGTTTGATATAAGTGCTTTTTATTTTTTCTAAAGTTTTTACTTATATGCGGAGGTTCTTCATCAGAAATTTCTAGGATATGTGTTCGAGAAAAATGAAGTCTTGATAGGATGTTTAAGCCTGTTGAACCATTTATTTGTTTTGGCATTCATAAGTTCTTTTCAGATGTCAGTTAACGATGAGATGAGCTTAAGCTTGATGTTAATTTAATTTATTTGTTCTTTGTTCTCAATTCTGCATATAAATATGTCTTGAATTCTCCATTGCACCAGAAAAGCAAGTCTTTCCGTCGCATGTTATCTTCGACTTATTTGTTTTAACTCTATATTCCATTCGTTGTACTTATATTTTTTTCTCCTATAGTCTAATCAATTGCATGGCCTAATCCTTTTATATGAAACAGGTCGTTATGATCTAGTGGTTCAGTTTTGTCTCGGGATTTCTATCGGAATAATATGTTCTTATATAGGAAATAGAAGGGAAGTTGAGAAATTGAGAGGATTGTTAAAGCAGGCTGAGAACTTGGTTCAAGATCTTCAAGAAGAGCTTGAAATGAAAGATTCATTGACAGTGAAGGAGCTAGTCAATGAGAATTATGAATTAAAAGAAACATATTACAATTCGTTTCCCAAAAGGGAAACGAATTTGTCTTCCCTTGAACGTAATACGGATAATTTGACAAGACTCGATGGTGAAGAATCAAATCATCAAAAGGTAGAGGAAAGTGTGGAACCTATGAGTAAAATCGAAGCAGAACTTGAAGCCGAACTTGAGAGGTTGGGGCTTAACATGGATGTACCAAATCATGAGCGTAGACTGCCCGATCTTGTCGAGGTAAGCTTGTGTTTACCTTAGCATTTCCATGGAGCTTTACAGATATGGTTTAATGAATTCATATTATTCATAGCATTTGTGTCACCTGGTCTCATATGGCATTTTTCTCATTTTATTAAATAAATTTCTTAATTAAAAGTTCATGGGAGGATTATCCAGCTTACTGAAGATTGCCATAAAAATAAGTTAAACTACCTATGGGTCCTTAAACTATATGTAAGTTGAAAAGCAAATTAGTCCCTTTTACCATAAAAGTGAGCAATGCAGTCCCTGTACATTTAGCTTTGAAGTAGAGTTAAAATTTGCCCCTTTACTCTAAAACCGAGCAATATAGGTTTTCTTTCTTTCTTTATATATAGTCTGCAAAAATGGAACACAACTCAGCTATGTTTCTAAAATTTTGTAGTGATAAGTTCGAATTCGTCGAACACAAGTGTCGGGCATGAGTACATTAAAAATGAAGAGAAGTCTGAGCAACTTAAATTTTCTTTGTATGAAGATGAATCCACTTAGCTGTTTGCTTTGACAATTTTTTTGTCTTAACCTTCCTGCTAGCGTGTTTGAACCAGATATACTAATAATACAGCTGAAAATTCATGCAGATTGACCCAGATTTTGTAGCAGACTTTGCTGAAGGTGAATTGAGATCTGATATGGTCACCGGACAGCCTCTTGTTCAATCTATGTCTAATGAAGATAGAAGCGGCACCTCAACTACTCATTCTGCAAATTACGCTGTCTCTCCCAGAGAGTTGAGCCTGCGTTTGCATGAGGTGATTCAGTCAAGGCTTGAAGAACGAGTACAAGAACTTGAGACAGCCCTCGAGAACAGCCAGAGGAAGGTGAAACTAATGGAATCAGAGCATAAGAATCCTAATAACAAATGGAAATACTCAACCACCCTGGAGAGTCCACAAATGAATGAAGATCTCCATTGCATGTCGAAGCCTCAAGTCCCGAAATTAGCATGGGAAACTCCAGATCATGCACACAATGAGGCTTATGAAGAGGTGACAGAAGAGGGTACACCATTTCGTATTTATCGGAATAATCATCAGGAAAAGCTGCCTTGGGGTGATCAATACAATGCAAACAGATCCGATGGAACATTTTATGATCAGGTAAGAACATCGGAGGATCAAACTCCAAGGGTCCAGGAGCTACTTGATGTGAGTGTAAGTGAATATGAATGTAGTGATAATGATGAAATGGAGAAGCTATTGATACAGCAAATTGTGGAGAAAACCAAGAAAGGATCTCCTGTATTGCTAGATGCACAAAGAATATTGTTTTCCATGGATGAAATTTAACTTTTGAGAATCATATTGAAATCGAGAGACCAAATTTTTTGCATTTTATACATATAGGACTTGTATTCTTTACTACATAAACTTCCAGTTCAACATTTTGATTCCAAGTTTCGTACTAATTCTAACAAAACTATAGTTCAACGCAATCTATTCGGGTGTTACTCGGAATCACGTGTATCAAATATGTTCAGAAATGAAGAGTTGGAACAACATAGGATACAATTTCCCTTTCTAACTTTTTCCTCAGACCTGGACCTCCTTATTACTAAACTGAAAAAAAGTTCATGGATAATAACACAAGAAAAACCAATATGAACCCTAATGAATGCTTCTCAAATGGCTAACTAGTTCCCGACCTCAGTACTAAATTAGGGTTTCTCCTAGGTAAACGGAACAATTAATTTCATTTCATTTCTTTGCAAAGTATAATTAGATACCTCTTTCAAGGTTTCAACTTCAATGATAGATAAACAGAGTTTAACATAACATTTTGCACCAACTTCAATGGAAATACTAAATCATATATGGGAAAAGCACATAGATCATGATCAAGAAAATGAAAACTTTAGAACATCAAAAGATTCAAAGAACATTGTACAATGAAAACTTCAAGTAAGAACCTTGTTAAGAAATAAAACAACACACCCAGCGCTATCGACACAGGAAGGGCCGGTAGAGCTTTCTGATACAATGCCAACAGCATCAATGTAATGCCAAACCAGCTACAATTGCAAGATAGCATCCATACACTGTCATAAAATCATACATCGCGGCCCTACTGACTAACACACTGTAGAAGATGAAATCCCCCAATCCAAGCTTGATAGCACCGGATGAACCTAACCCCATACCTTCTAGCATCAAACTTTCAGCCGACACACCGTCTTGACCATCCATTCTGCGATCAATCAACGGTGCCGAAAGCTCAGCATCCCTTTCCGAAACCTGCTCTCCAAATCCGTCTTTGAACAGGTCCCGATGCAGGATCATGATGCGTAACCGGCCTAGCCTCATAAACCAGGCGGGATATCTTCATCCCTAGACATAGCAAGCTCTACAAGGAGCCTTAAAGGTCCACAGGCAATAAAACAGCAGCAAGATCATACAATGCCAAGGCAACCAACAACACCCAAGTAGTCCATTCAGGCAAAAGAGTAAACCAATAAGCAACTACATTCCAATTAGAACCAAGTACCCTTGTGTCACAACAATAGCCATTTTTGACATAAAACAGCCAAAAACACCAACAACGGCAAAATTAAACAAAAGCACCAAAAGGTAATGCAATCAATGGGGGCACTGAATTTTCAATAAAAAGCAGGCAATTCACCACCCATGAATCCCAAAACAACGAAAGAAGAAAAACCCATATATATTTTCAAGAACTTAGTACATCTGAGGTAAAAAAAAGAGCACCAAAATGAAGGTAGCACAGTGACAACAGCAACAAACGCTAAGGAATTCATAAGGGCACTTAGGAATTTGTCCCAGGATGAATCGGAGCTGGTTTCTGAGTAAGCTATGGTTGCAATTGATGTGACGGAAGTGAAGAGCTTGAGTTGAGAATTGTGACCAAAAGGACGACTAAACATGCAGATTGAAACAGGGGTTAGGATTCTGATGATTTCTTCACCTAAGGAATCAAGGAGGTTCTTTGGTTTGGATTTGGGTGCTCAAAATTGGGATAAAGTTTGAATCTTCTTCTTGATTCTCCAGGTTATTTTGTTAATAAAGCTTGCTGAAATTTTGCGGGGGGCAATGTTCTCTTGACCCAGGATGTTGTGAACCGTCGATTATTACTAATTTTAAACAAAGTTTCTTATATAAAATGATAAACTACAAATTTCATCCCTTTAACTTTATTCTCATTCATATTTTAGTCAAACTTTAAAAATTCTTAAATTAATTATCTAACTTTGATAATTGAATTTTAATCACTCCAAACATAATACTTTTTTTTTATTAAATTTTGAACTACTCATTAAATTAGATTATCTATCAATCACCTTTCGGACTGTAGTCCACACTCATCATCCCAAGTAACCATTAATTGACACTCTACTTACATGAGTACTGACATTAAATCTCAATCTCTTATATTGAGCTTGTAGATGTATAATAAAAATTGGAGTAAATAGCATATGTAATTGAATTTCAATTTTACGCCTATCATACATAGTTGTTGGTCTAATATCATATCACTAAAGATTCCAGACTAAACTCTCAATTAGTATCACAATTATAAAAGTTAAGCGACTAATGCTTTGTTCAATAATCTTGTCATATATGACACTCATCTTTTTAGATTTTATTTGTTCACTTTAATCAAATTTTCTTAATATTCTATTATATTTATATCATAATGCAAATAACCATTCATCCAATGAATGACTTAAGTCAATATACCATAACCTTTGGTCGAGTTCTATTTACAAAAAACTACTTTAATAAGATATCCTCAACTCTTGAAGAGAACTGTGACTTCACATTATGTCATACCATGTATAAGTTACATACTTTGAGTTAATTTTTCAAAATGAGACTTATTAGAACTCGAATCAAACAGAGCAGAAAATTATTCCTTTTTCCTCCCAGAAGGAGATTCAAGGAAGTAAAAAAAAGGTTTTACAAAGACCAAAAGTCGCATAATTTGATCAAATAAAAATTAGTTTCCAAGCAAGTAACGACCATAACTAATAACCAAACAATTTACTACTACTTGAGACGGATTTTTTTCATGCCCTTTTGGCGAAATCACTTCCATTCTCATTGTCCTCGTCCCGGAAGTTCTCGTTCATTGGCTCGTTTGAGTCGAACGCTTCTCCTCCTTCCTCCTTGAAGCCATCTTGAGCACTACTGAATTGATCACCACCATCAAATCCCATATTCTGACTTTCATATCCAGCGGGACCACCGGTGGCAACGTCACCACCAACACCACCAGCATTGAAATTCCCACCATCGAATTGGTGGCAGCAGATTGATCAAAACCACCATAATTTCCTTGGCCTCCATAGTTGCCACGACCACCGTATCCAGCATTACCTCCATAATTTCCAGATGGGCTGGCATTTCTGTTGTAGCCGTCGCCACCATAATTACCACCACCATATCCACCGCCACCACCATATCCACCGCCACCATAGCCACCACCTCCATACCCGCCGCCTCCATAGCCACCGCCTCCAAAGTTACGAGGGGGTCTCTCAGCTGCATAGTTCACTCCTACTTGACGGCCATGGAGAACCTACAACAAGAAAGACAACCAACAAAATCCTACAATAACTACCGCATATATAAGAACCAATGCTGCTGTTAAACCTCTGCAAAATCAAACAGGTAGACAAAGATAAAACTACTGTTTTCACCCTTATCTATACCAGACAGATTAACCAAGAATATTATGATGATAAAACATCTCACATGCCAAATCAATTACTTATACATGCATGCGCAAATTAAGGCCTACATAACATATTTTTTATTCAAGTAGTGAAAATTATTCATCAGTTGAGGCGATTGAGAAAATTAATGTGGAACTTGTACTTCATAGTAAGAATTACTAGCAGACATGAAAGGGATCCCGATAAGTTGCCAAGGAAAAAATGAGTTATAACATGAAGATTGAGGCCCTGACAAGGAGACACTGTGTTTCTAGATGCTGATAGTGAATTTGAGTAGCATATATTAACACAATGCAATAATCCTCCTCATCGTTCACCACAATTGGAATCTTAATTACCAAGACATAGGCCTAGATGCAATTTGCAACCAAGTAACCAACACAATGCAAAAGCTTTTACGATAGTTGCAGAGCACCATAAGAAGAAAAGACCCATTGGTATTACTGAACAGAAATTGCATGCATCATATTCTAATTTTGATCTCTTTGTACAAAGGTTTAAGCGTATATGCTCATCGTTATAAAATACATTAGCATCCTATGAGGTTTACTTAAACAGCAGCAACCTGCAGATATTCCAAGACTGCCAATATGAAAGGAATAAGCAAATTCTTCAAACAATAGATGCTTAGATGCCTTATATTACCTGTCCATCCAAGGCCTGTATTGCGCTGGAAGCATCCTCAGTACTGGTGTACGTGACGAAGCCAAATCCTCTAGACCTGCCCGTTTCTCGGTCCACAATTACTCTTGCTACAATAAATATCAAATTAATCAGCTGTTTTACAAAGATAAAAGCAGTGGACATCAAACAAACTTGACTGCAAACTCAAAGTTAGTACACCATATGCACAACCCCACACAAACTTGAAGTTAAAAACATTTTTTCATTTTGAAAATATATCAAAGGTGGAATCTAAATGTTCATGAGACATGCCATTATACTAAAAAATATGAACCAACATGACACACTTGACAGGTAGAGGAAAAAATTTAAGCATCTCAAGATACTTTTAAATCCCTTTCATAGAGGCAATTACAAATTGAAAAAGGAAAATACATTCATTGCAGCATACCTTCAACAACTTCGCCATATTGGCTGAAAGCGTCTCTCAGACCTTGGTCATCAGTTTGGTATGAAATACCTGCAATAAAAGAAAATTAACAAGAAACCCTAAAAAAACAGGTTAACAGAAAACAGTTTGCTCCTAAGGTATAAACAAAAGTTGGATGCACACCTCCGACAAAAACTTTTGAGCTCGGCGAGTTTGACATGCACCGGAACACTTGGAAAAGCCCAGGCCTTGAAGCAGACAACTGAGAATTGATCTGTGTAGTCGAGGCCTGCCTAAGCATATTCCCAATTTTACTTAAGAATGCCATTGTTACAACCTACAAAAAACAAAAAATTAAACTTCACTTTCAGCAAATGAAACAGAAAAATAATAATAACAAAACAGAGAAAATATCTACACTAAAAGAAACAAACAGAGTAACCTATTTTACAAGATTTGAACTTTCATCTGTATTGATCTCTTATCTTTACCACTCTGAAAACCCTAGCCCACATTACCCCAAAATTTTATTTTCTTTTTCATGCTCAATGGCAAAAAACCAAGCAAGAAAAGAAGAAACAACAGTTAAATATCGATTTCCAATCATTACGCA